GATGAATGAACGACTACATTTTTCATTTTCGCGAAAAAATAGTGCTTGTTGAGGTTATGTTTAGTTTCTAAAGAAGTGTATACATATTTTGTTTAAATATTTAATCATACTGCTATCCTTATGCGGTATAAATCTTTATTTTTATAAATAGTTACTTACCTAAGGTGTTACTAGACTTGCACTGTTATAACAACACACTAAAAACGGGAAACTTTATGCAGCTGAAAAGTTCATTTACTGGATAGTAGGAATGTTATTTGAGGCACAAGCTAAGAAATACGTTCTAAATATACTTTTAACCAATCAAAATCATGGGTAAACGAATGTCGAAACTTAAATATTAGATTAATTCGGTCTTTTGTTCATTCACTGGTTGCGTTCATTTACTGGTGCATTTACCCTACTTGTTGCCTTGAATTTTAAAAATTGCTAAAATTCTACCTTACCCGTGTGCAATAAAATTAAAAAAAGTGTACCTAATCACCATCAAATAAATTTAGAAACACAAACACTCTAACTAAATTTCCCCCCAAATATCCAAATAAAAACAAAAACAAACGCGAATTAACTCACCCACGCTGCGCCCGCCACATACACTTTCACTTGTTGATTCATGTAGACGATAGACGAGAACGAGACGCCGCATTCTTTAATATCGATAGTCACATGATTTCAACTACCAATGAAAACGCACCCAAGCGCCAAATTTCTCGCCTCAGGCCCGCCATAGAAATGCATAGATACGTTTACCCCGTCGTCCGCCGTCGCGTCACAAAATCGTCACTAGTAATAGGTAGGCAGTTAGGACTTTCCAAGCTAGAATTATTGCGCCTCTATTGATTCTCTTTTGCGGGTGGGTTTACGCGGCTTACGTTGCGCCTGTACTTTATTTTACTACTGCATTTATTTATAAAATATATATATTTTTTAGTTTTATTGTGTTGATGTAGAATTGTAATAAGGTATAATTGGATTAAATAAAAAGCTACTGTTCCTTCGTTTTAAAGGTGAGGCGCGGCCTCAGAGGCCTACCCTGACGAGCCGCCACTGCAAAGTAGTAGTAAGCTAGTAAAGGCAAAGTAGTTTCCGGCTTGTAGCTAGCAAAGTTTTAATTTATTTCCGGCTAAGTAAAAATGCAGCGTTTCTATTAAGATTAAACCTAAAATGTATAGGGATAAAGTGCCATATTTTGAGAAGTGGCGGTTTTTATTAAAAATAAACCAAAATTGGCTAGAGTCAAACAAGATCCTACAAAATTTGGAAAAGTTTTTATTGTAAGAACTTGTTAAGAACTTGTAAGAACTTGTAAGAACTGTTGTCTTTACTGTAAGAATTACAAAAGTTAAAAATTACACAAAAAAACATAAACATTATTCAGTTTGTTCTGCTGATGCCATCTGAGACACACTTAAATTTGTATAAAAATCATGATACCGTGGAGGTACTGCATTTGAGTTGCATAAATCGATGAGATCTTTATACTTATCCTTAGTAACACCAGGTGGCTTATTATAAGCATTTGATAAAACAACAGAAGAAAATTACTTTTTATCTCTTTTCCTGGTTTTACTTTCAAAATTTATCTCTTTGTATTCGCTCTCATTATACCAGTTTCTATAGAACACACTATCCTGCACAATTTCAATTATGTGGATATCATTCCATATATGGAATTATATATGTGGATATCATTCCACGTTCGCCATTTTTGTTCGTGCCCCAGTTTTTAGCAATTGCATCGGCATAAAGTTTAAAGTTAAAAATGTCCTTCGTTGTGATTTCTATGACTGAATAAGGATGACCTGTTTTCTTTGCTGTTTGCTTTGAACTGTGATCCATTGCGCTGGAATAAATATACCACCTTCAGAACTTTTAAGAATTCTTTGTTTGTTTTTTTCTATTTGGGCATGCATGGAGTCACCCTCGTTTTGGGTATGGCCCACTATAAAATATTTATGGGTTATATATGCACAAAAGCCATTCTTTACGGAATATAAATACATAGATACTATAAATCTATGTTTGTTCTGCCCGACAGTTATCAGAGTAAAATATCAAATTTTGAACTCAGGAACAATAATTTTTTATAAAATGTAGTACGCAACTGGATATTTCGTTGGAGCCCCTTTTGGCATCATTTTCTGACCAAACATAGCAGAAACATTTTTTGGCAATAATGTCATAAATGGTAAAGTTGTAAGTGGCTAATTTCTTTTTATAAAACATGGATGATACGTGGGAAGTGGGGGTGGGTAAAACAGCTTGTAGATCGAAACAAAATACTTTGGTGTTTTTGTCAGTCTTTCCGGTCTCTATGTCGTTGTTTTTCTCTTCCCTAGACAAAGTTTTTTGGAGTTGGTGTCGTTCTTAGACAAGGAAAGAGAGGGGACGGGTAACACGCATATTCTCCCGTGATCGGATAGTGAGACCAAAATTCGATCGGCGGCCATACTTTGGTGACAAGATTTTGAGGTGACACCGAGCGAATTTTTATGTTTTTTGTGACAACTGTTTTGTTTTAAATTTATAAACTGTGTTGTTTAGTATGGTGAGATGTTCAGAGTATGGCTGCAAAGGCCGAAGCGAGAAAAAAGTGGCTGGAATTACATTTCACAGGTAAAAATCGATACACAACTTTTGTTATGTGGTCATAAAATGTACATTTTTTTCATTATAGCAGTAAAAATATGTAAAATGCTTTTAATATGTCTTGTACCACATCCAAACCAAACTATATTTAATAATTCCAAGTAGTATTTTTAATATCCTGTATTATAATTAATGTTTGAAACTATAAATATTGCTACTCAGACCGGATTTCACCAGTGGCGTAGGGAATTATAATCAGAGAAATACAATTTCTGCAATAAACATTTTTTTATATATTTTACTAAACTATAAGAAAATGAAAAATTCTAGTGATAAAAAATCTATATGTGTATAGTTATATAAAACTTAAATTTACCTGCCAAGATTTGTTGGGGGTGGACAAACTTGTGGTGGGCTACTTGTTACTACATACATATATTTTTTTTAAATATTCTTTCAAAAAATTTGCTAATTTAAGTGTATAATAATAGTTTCAGTGAGTAATTAATAAAAATTTAAAAATAAATAAAATAACACAAAGCTTCTAGAATTGTTTTATTTTTTGTGAATAAATTCGGATATTCTTAAAAATAGGATATTCTTATGACTGAAGGTAAACAAATATTAAAAATTACACTATTCATTGAATCCGTACGCAAGTGTGCAGGGTAATGGCTAGATTCATTATTATACCGTATGGTCGAAAAAAAAACGACGTCCAGTTGGCTTGTAAATGACGACATTCCCCATATAATTTTACATATAAAATGACAGCGATCTTCATTTCATAGCCAGCGCTGACGCCGTCTTTTTTCGATGTCGTTTTGTATAGTTTTTATATAATTTTATATGTAGAATTATATGGGGAATGTCATCGATCGTAATTTACAAGCCAACTGGACGTCGTTTTTTTCGATTAAACGGTATAATAATGAATCTAGCCAATTCTCTTCACACTTGCTTACGGATTCAATATTCAATGAATAATGTAATTTTTAATATTCATTTGTGAAATTGTCATTTCCAAACAAACAAGACGCCGTTTTTTTTCGATCATACAGTATATATGTATATACACGTTTAAGATATATGTTATTACATTATTTTTTATTTAATTATACATTATACACACGTTAATAAATAAATAATTGTCTTGATAATCAGTCCACTGTGACTGTTAAATAAATTTTGCATTATCGACTTAGATATTCTAATATATAATATTAGAATATACCTCACCTTTATAAAGGTGAGACTATAAAATACAAAATTGTATATGCATTACTCAAAAATTAACGATATATTAGTTTACGTTTTAATAAATATTTTGTACCGTCTAGGTACTGTAATATATAGTGTAATATATTTGAATATTACTTATTGTAGAATAAGTAATATTCAAATATATTACAGGTACAAGCTAATTTCTGATGCTACGCCACTGGAGAATTTCGCGTGGTGACAACTTGCCTCACTTTCAGCTGCCGTGTTACCTGTCCCCTCTCTTTCCTTGTCTAAGGTGTCGTTCATACGTATACTTTATGGTTTCTCTCTGCTCCTCTATGCTATTGTTAAATCGCATGCAGAGCTGACATTGATCCTTTTTTGGCTGTTGAAATCCCATGTTGAATTCGTTGTTGAAAATATTAGAATAAAGTGACTTTGTTCCAGGAGGTATGTTTTTAGCTTCACAACAATTAACATACATTCGATATAGCTCACTTAGTGTAATATCACCAAATATATATTCTCGCTTACTATCAGCTCTGCAGTAATGAGAAGGGACCCTGTCAATTGAGTTAATATGATCTCTAATGGACTCTTTGATTTTAAGATCAACCACTATATGTCTATCGTGCTTTCCCCTATTGTCACCCTTTACTATTCCATTAAAATCAGTTTTTGCAAAAGCAGTCCTAACGGTTATATCTCCTATACCTAAAGTTTTCATAAAAAACTACTTACACACGCTCTCTTTATTCCCATCAATAGGAAAAAAAATATTCTCTGTTAAGCGACCTATAATTATTTGTAGACGAATATCTGTATTTTGGTTTTATTTCTTTGGTATTATATGAAATAAAAGACCTTTGCTTCGTGATATCTCCCAATTCCCAATACATTCGGAACAGTTGGTTTCTCTGATCTTCCTTTATTTTAATTGAGCAGTTGTACTTACATTTTTCTTCACAAGTAGGGCTCATCTTTTTTTCTGGAATAGTCCGTCCCTTTGAATTTATATATGATTTACCCTCATTTTTATTTTTCTTGACTTGATTTTGCTTCCAATTATTTTCATTTCTTTTGCGTTTTCTAGAACGACTTGTTTTCTGCGTTTCTACATTTATTGATGATACAGATGATACACTTGAATTTTCAATATCTTCTGGAATGTAGTCCTTGTCAATATTAGTAGTTAATTGTGAGGTACTGGAAATTTCTTCGGTACCCTTTTCAACCACATTTTTATTTTCCAGCATCACCCCTTCATTAAGAAAAATATTTTTAGTGTCTTTTAGCATATAGCGTGCAGCACTTACCCTTTTCAGTACTTGTTTCTCTGAAAGCTCTTGATGGAACTTCATTTGAAATAATTTCAGCGACATCCGTACTTTCATTTTCAAGAAGGAACTCTCTTCATTTGAATTATTAACTTCTTTGTCAAAAAAATCCAAATCAATGTCTTTGATGAGGTCATCAGAAGTAACGTTGATTGAAGGACTAATATTCTCTTCTATGGGTCGGTAAATAATCTCAACATTGTTGGTTAAATGTTAAACTTACTCGCGGGAACAAATTCAACTGCACCGGGATCGTTAGGAGCTATAGGCTCTACGTACAGGACCTACAAAAAATAAAGTATAAAGTCTTAGTTCAATTTTCAAGCTATTGGTAGAATATTGAGTATACTTTTAATAAAGAGTACCTTGACATTTTGGTCTATCAGGGTGTCCATTTCTGATTCGACATTAATATAGTTTATTTCTTGGTGAGGCAAGTGAGGCTGCTAAGCCCGTACCATCTTGCTCGGATATTCTAAATTGGCCTGTATTCCAAAGTTGGCCTCCAATTCCGAATTCGAATACTTGGTTGACGCTAGCTAACCAGTTGGAAGGTATCTCATAATGATAACATACCATATCGTCTTGCGCAAAATCCGATCTTCTTTGTATTCTATATCTCATAGTTGCGGCTGCGCTTGCTATATGCGACGAAAACTGCCAATAAGAATTGGTCCTCATCTTCTTACTGGATAAGCTCTTGGTTGGTGTGATCTCTGCATCCATTGTTGTTCTACTTGAATAGGGAACTTGTCCCATTGATCCTAACAGTGATGAAGGAAATACTGAATATGCCCTCACCTTTGATGCTAATAGTTGATTTGATACAAATATCATTAATGGTGCATTTATAGGTATATGTGCTATATTCTGGACTCCAAAATCGTTTTCGAATATACCACACTGCGTCAGTAACATCAGATTCTGACGAATCTAATAACTGAAAAAAATATTTTTTTTAAGATTTAGGTAATGTTACGTGTAATAGTAATTTAGGTAACAAGTTCTGAAATTAACATTCTACGGCACAAATAGTTTCTAGTACTAGCCGTAGGCGAGTCTTGGAATCCTCCTACTCTCGTAAAACCACCTTTGGATCGCGTTACGTACAATATTTTTCGTTAGAAAATATAGATTGAAAAGCAAAAACACCCAAATCTCGTATGACCAGCGCGGACATACCTAATGGTTTATGGTTTATTATGGTTATCTAACGGTTTTTTAATATTAATAAAAACCAAGTTGACGTTATTTCCAAGGCCGCCTACTTAATGCCCAAAATCGGTAACATATGATGTAGTGTGTTACCACTAAAAAATAAGTTACTATAATCTATACCAGTAGTTCCCAAACTTATTTTTCTCGTGGGCCACTTTCAAAATTTTACTGGTTTCGGTGGACCCCCTGCTGCTACATTTCTACCACATTCTTAAAGTCGCCAAAAAATAAAAATTGTGTCACTTCTGAGTTCTGTCCCTATATTCCGATATGTAAAATAAAAACGAAAAATGGTACATTTTATATCACTTTATTTATTAAAAGAATAGAATTACAAGAAAAAATATTAAGGTAATATAGGTTCAGGTCATAATTTTAATTAATGGAAAGGATGTATCTGATGGAGTGGCAGCAAACGATCAATGTTTGGCTTTATTTTTGTGAGCAATAACCGCAAATCCCCCCGCTCTGTGATGTTTAATTTGCTCCTTTTTTTTGTTAAGAGGTTTGTAACGGCACTAAAACTCCTTTCGACAAGGTATGACGAGGGAAAAGCTATTAAAAATTTCCTTGCGATTTCCCACAGTCCAGGATATTTTTCGGGTATTTCTGCTTGCAGCCAAAATGTTGGGTAGCCTTTTCTAAATTTCACCTTCAGCTCCTCATTAGTGCTTAGCTCGAGCAGCTCCTCTTGTAATACAACATTGGCCACTTCCGTTTCATCAAATGGATTTATGATCCATGGTGGTATATCCATCGTCAGTATATCTTCAAACCTGGTTTTGAAGTCATCATGCAGAGCACTTAAATGTTGACTGTAGGTATGGATATCCTCATCAATACATTCTACCTGCGACAAGTTTGGAAATTGAGAGAATTCGCGCCGACTAATGTTTTGCTTCATAAATTTCAATTTCCCAAGAAAAGCCGAAATTATCCCCTTTGTTTTTATTAAATTCAGGCTGTCCCCTTGTAACTGCAAGTTAATATCATTAAATTTTTTAAACAAATCTGTCAAATACGCAATGTCTGCTTTGAATTTGATCAAGTTTTCTTTTAAATCTGGATCTCTACTTTCTAAGAACTCTAATATGGAATCGAAAACAGAGTAAAATCTCGTTAAGCATGCACCTTTCGACAACCAGCGTACTTCAGTATGTAAGAGCAGTCGTTGGAAGTCTTCATCATTTTCGTCGCACAATTGAGCAAATAAACGCGTATTCAATGCATTGCTTCTGATTTTGTTGACAGCTTTTATTACAAAATGAAGAGATTGGTTCAACCTGTCACTTAAATGTTTTGCCACAAGATGTTGTCGGTGGATTACGCAATGAATAGCTGTAAGTCCTGGTATAATTCTTTTGAGATGACTTATAAACCCACGATATCGCCCGACCATTGCAGGAGCTCCGTCTGTTGCCACTGAAATAATGTTTGTAAATGGGATCGATTTTTCCGTAAAAAAATTACTCAGGACATTAAATATTGATTCGCCTTTAGTGTCAGTCTCCAAAGTTCTGGCAAATAGCAATTCTTCGTGAATTTCTTCCTCAACAATAAATCGGACATATGCCAATAGTAATGCTTCATTACTGGGTAACGTTGACTCGTCCAGTTGTATAGAAAAATGAGTTTTTTGCAGATGATTGCACAAAAAGCTTTCGATATCAGAGCTCATTTCATCAATGCGTCTTTGTACAGTATTGTTACTTAATGGAATTCTTTTTAGTACGTCAAATGGAGATTTGTGCAAAACAGTTTTTAAAACCTCTTCAACAGCGGGTAAAATTAATTGTTCTCCGATAGTGTGCGGTTTTCCAGATTTTGCTATAAGTAATGAGATATTGTAAGATGCCCGCAAGCCATCATCGTTACTTTGAGATGTTGAAGCGAACATACTGTGCATGGTGGGTCTCTTTCCATATTTTTCTTTCAATGTTTGAAAATATTTTAAATCTTTACCTATTTTATCAGTATGACACCTTTTTAGATGATCTTCGAGCTTTGATGGTTTCATAGAGTCATTGCTCAAAACTTTGTTGCATAATAGGCACATGGGCAATTGTTTGTCTGCCTCTGATGGAACAAAACCATATTTCAAATAATCGATACTATATTGTCGACATTTTTTCTTTGCTGTAGCCATGTTTCGTGTCAGTTACCTTACCTGTAAAAAAAATGTTTTAGTAACCAAGTTTTTTTCTGAATATAGGTATCACACCGCAGCCTTTGTCAGCACGCGGAAATAGAATTACGGCTTGTAAAGGGACCAACTAATAAACCGCTGAGACAAATACAGACGTTTTCACAAAACGGTATCAATTTTAAAGTACATAATTTACCACTAATTTTTAATAGTATAAATAAAATTGGTGTACTCAGTATCGAATACTGATCATATTTGTGTAGGAAAAAATAAAAGTCGAAATCCCAAAATTGTCCATAAAAACGATAACTAACATTTTATTAAATCAATGAGTTCACGCGCTCCGTGTATTTGCGTATTTTTTGTCTGCGGCTTCATTGTTAAAACGTGACAAACTGGCATCGAAGTCCAAGCCCCGCGCCCTTTTCCCGTCGCCCGCGCACCGCTCGCTCTTTCCGAAAAGGAATAGTTTTGATAAAATAGTTACTTCAAAACCAATTTAAAATGATTATGAAATTACTGTTTTATAAAATTAGTAGTTATTTGCAAGAAAAATTACAAAATTAATTGCTCTGCAATATTGCTTATTCGGCCTTTTTAGAGGCAGTGTTTCTCTCGTGAAAAACAATTGAATAAAACGTGCTGTGTTTGTCTTCAAATCGAAAGAGGACAATTAAAATATCTGTAAGTTACTAAGTTACCTATCTATACAGGCCGTTGTGATCAACCGACTAGTACACGTAAACAAAATACTTAAGTACTATAACAAAAAAAAGGTAGGTTACTTACTTTTCTCCGGCACTAGCAAACACAGATATAAATTTTCTCACAACTTTTTTTCCAAATTCCGCCTTTTTTCGAAATTCCGGAAACAAATGAATGCGTTTGCCTTTGGCATCAAGTATTTATAGTGGTGATCAAGTTCATGTCTGAACAAGCATTAAGCATTGTCGGGCGGATAGCGCTTTGCAAGTCTGTACACGAAATTGTTCGTAATATCGAATACGCAAGTTTGGACAAGTAACAGTCGCTTGCCTTATTAAAATATTATCTGCTTAGATAGGTACTTAAAACAATGTAGGTAGGCCCTTATAAAAACTATGCTTACATTTTTGCTCTTTACTATCAAAAGCAGATAAATTTTCGTGGACCCCCATTAACATCTTATGGACCCCCATTTTTTGTTCACGCCTACGTAGACCCCCAGCAAGTCTCCCGTGGACCCCTGGGGGTCCACCTGGACCACTTTGGGAATCACTGATCTATACCATTTAAGTACTTACCTTATTTTCCTTGTTGGAGTTCATGTTTTTGAGGGCTAACAACAAATTCCTGTTGAACTTGGATCTTTCAGTCATATTATAACACGTAAAAAACAGGAAAATAAAGTAACCGAAACACTAATATACTAAAACACTTTAAATTACAATGATTGTATCTGTGTTTCAGCTAATAACAATGATAAAGTAGAGAGAACGATCGTAATCGTCGCGTTTCAACTTGTTGCTTAGTTTAAAAATAACCCTCTCAAATAAGTTCCGATAAAAGCGCCATAATTTGACTTGCATACAAAGACGCTGGGACTTAAATTATATATTTTTAATCAAACACCGTCACATTTCAAAATGTGGCTTAACTTGATATCGCATTTGCGATTACGATTATAAAAGCGCCGTAACTAGAGTTATTGCGTAGTTCATGAAATATTAGTGTGTGTTTGCAGAAAATAATTCGAATTAAAGCAGTTTTAGATAGAAATTTGAGTTGTGGCTAGATTTTAAATGGTTTTCAGGCACCTATGTGGGTAATTTGATTTGTGGCTCTATTTGTATTAAAAACTCATTCATATTTTGCATCGGTAAAGCCAAAAATGTCATTTTCTTATTTTTTTGCCCTGTGGCGGTTTTTGATTGAACCATCCATATTACTCATATTTACTTAATTTCGAAAATTGCCATTTGGGTAATTTCTTAATTAGATTTTACTCATAATTAGAAATAATGGCGATTTTTGCCTCTGATACATGAAAAAAGTGAAACCAAAAGATTAAATTAATTTAAATTTACTTACTTGCTACGTAACTGTCCAGCATTCGTTGTATTTTGCCCATTTTCTTACTAAAGGCTGTTTCGAACTCCTGAAATCTACGACAGGATGGTCTCTTTATAGATATACATTATTAATAGATAAACATTATTAATAGATATACATTATCAAGCAGGGTGCGCGACGAAGTGAAGTCTTGACGCCTCAAGACAGCATTCATGCTTGGACCTGCGTGGATATTCAGTTCTAGCTACTGTTTTCTCGACAGTTTTCTTGATGAATTCGGCATTTTTAAACTTTCACCGCACGAACGTATGAAACATAATGACTAAACACCGGCCGGCGGGGCGGGCTAACAAATCCTTTTTTTTCTGTAAACAATACGCCGCAGAGAGGATGAAGCATATACT